GCTTGGCAAAGTGTTTGGCTAGCTACCAAGGCTTTACAGTGTTTTAAGGAAAGATATGCTACATATTAGAAAGAAATCCTTTTAATTTAAAATGTGTATGAAAATATTTATTCTGCTTTTTAATAAGATCTCTGATTCGTACCTTATGTTCTCCATTCTGTCCTTGCCACTCTGGAAGTGGCCACTGGGAGGTTGTGTGAGATCAGTCTGACAAGGTTCACTCCCAGGTTCCACCCTATGGTAAAGCACTTTGTTGTTGCTCAATGGCTTCCGCCAACAGCTTGGCTGAAATTGGGAACTTGCCATGCAATGAACTCCAAATGCCAAAATTTATCGTACAACTGCATTGTACTTCACCATGTACCACAAGTAAATGTGCAACAGTAAATGAATGTTTTGAAATTTCTTTTGCATTTCAGCAAAATATTTGTGTTGACAGAAAGCCAATAATGATTATTCCTAAATGTTTACATGAGTGTTGGGCAGAAATATTGATCTCTACTAAATGCACTTTACACATGAATGCATTTAGCACAGATCAACAATTTACACCCCTATTGTTGTAAACGTTCAGGAATAAACCTTATTGCCTTTCTGTCAATTATATGCACAGTTTTCTGCAATGCACAGTTAATTTCAGAATCTTCCTTAGCTCGCTACTGTACATTTTATGACTAAGCCCACAAGACATTAAATAAAAGCTGTACTTCAGTGACTGCTGTACTTCAGTGCTGTTTTACCTTTAAGGCATTGTACAATGTTCATTCCATCAGTGTTTTTTAAAGCTGCGCACATGCAACCCTGATAGATTAGAACATTCCTACTTGTATTTGTTAGTGGAGAGGAAATGATTGCAGACTATAAACTACAGTTTCCTCAAATTTGACCTTTTTTAACTACTGTTTTTTCTTTACATGCTAAGGGTAAATGGGAGCTTAAATGGTTTGGGGCTCATCTCTTCCTCCTTTTCTCCACCTGCCCCTATTTTTTAAAAAAACACTTTTTTGTTCCGCGCTCCTCGCTTACTGGCTCCTGAAAACAAAAGTGTGTGTTTATTTTGAAAATTTTAAAAATAGCAATTAAATGTTTTAAATTAAAAATGTATTTTAAAAAATCAGTGTGGTCAGCTGTGTAAAAGGAGTAAATGATAGCCTGAGAAAGTTCACTGAAGTATTTGCTTCTTTATATGTTAACAGAATATCTGGTGGAAGAGCTTCTCCTTGTAGCTCACAGCGTAATTTAATTGAGGATGGTTTCTGCTGCTATTAATAGAGGAAGCATTCCCTTTATGTCCTTTCATCACTTTCATTGAGTAGAGAACACTTGTTCCGTTTCTAGATCAATCAAGAACCATTTCAATATTTAACCAAAACCAGAGATCGCTGGGAACACTCAGCAGGTTAGGCAGAATCTATGGACAAAGGAGAGAGGATCAACGTTTCGGGTCCATGACCCTTTGTCAGTCTGATGAACTGTTCTGCAGCATATGCAGTATTTTGCATTTTTTTGATATTTAACTATCTGGGCAGGGTCGAATACCTTTTCCCTGTAAAACCATGGATGCATATATGCACTGGGCAATGGTTTTACTTTCTTCCTCTCCTCTAGTAGCATACACCAAGCAAAATGTGTAGGAGTGTGGGGAAAATGCAGGCTAGGAGGACTGAATGAATTGATCCTATATAGAACTAGCACAGCATGATGGGCTGAGTGGTCTTCTGAGCTGCACATGTCTGATTTCTGGAGTCAATGGAGCTTGTATTTGAGCTATTGTATTTTTTTAAAAAAAACTAGCATGAAAGGGGATGAAGTCAGGAAACAGGGTCCACTTCTCCTTTCACAGTTGCTACCCCACTTCTCCCTGTGATCTGATCTTTGTCCTCCTTAGCTGTTACTCTTTTGTCTTCCCCTCATTTTTCTCACTCACCTTAAATCCTTCAACTTTCTGATTCAATCAATCTTGGCCTCTACAATTCAACATTCTGTTGACGCACTCTCGGCACCCGCAAAGAATGGCCATTTGGGCGAGGCACAAAAGAGACGCTCGTACTTGTAGAGCCATACATTATGAGTCATCATTGCCTTCAGAAGAAGAGAGGTTTAAAAAATCCTCCAATACAATGTCAAAATAGTTTGTACTGCGTAGATTACTTGACACAGTACAGACTTTCTCCAGGATCCATTTTGGCAGCTGTGAAACTTGAGCTGTTACTTCACAGCCTTCTAAGAAGTGAATCTATCTCCAAAAGACAATGGTGTGTCTGGGGGACATCCTCCTGTTGTTAAAGGCGCTAAAATGTAATTTTGCTATTGTTTTGTATTTTGAGAGAGATCTACGGCATTCCTTTTTGTGGCACAACAGTAATATGCGGTAATTTCTTCACAGTTTAATTTGTATACCAATGAAGATGTTACTACCTAAGAACTAGTTGAATAACTAAATTCTGGTTGGATTACATCATGTTCAAATTCCTTTTCTCCTTATTTTGCCATAATGTGTTTTTTGTTCTGCATTTCCCTCGCATGTCATTTTTAAACTGAGGTCAGAGCTCATCTCCTATCAGTGACTTTTATTGTAAATGCAATGTGCCAGTCAAGGTTGCAGTCCTGGATGGTATTTAGCTTTTCTATGGACTTGGTGATGGTGAATTTGATTGAACTGTGCATTTACATTTAGTGTTTCTCAGTTGCCCTTGCATTTCAAAAATGATTCCCCTTGGGAGGAAGTGGCCATTTCTGTCACAATTCAGTTTCAAGTTAAATGTTTAAAAAAAGTTAAAGGATCTCTGACACACTGTGAAATTAGAATCTGTTAATGCCAGCAAATCCAGGAGAATAGTGTTTACCTAATATTCCTGTGTTTAGTCTAGCCACAAGTTGTAGTTGCTTGGCATTTCTTCAAATGGGTTTGCATGCAGGAAATAAAAATAAATGGGAGGGGAGAGTAATTTTGTTAGCTAAAATGGATTAACAACATTCTATCTTTTGCAGTTCATATAATGGATAACAACAGCAACAAGATTCCATTTATTGAGCGCCTTTCACGTCGGGAGGACGTCCCAAGGCGCTGGATAACTAATATTCCTTTTCCCGCTCTTCTCCCTCCCCTTCCCCCAAACATCCTGGGCCCTACAAGTACATGAAAACCTCATTATAACATGGTCCAATGTCCAGTGTCTCACAACTGCATTCCGAATCAAGCAGGGAAACGTGGCCAATTTCTGAGTTGTCAGTTGTTATCAGTGCTTAGCGAACGTGCATTTAACATTCAACAATCCCAGAAGTCAACTGTTGTTTATGTGAGAGACAGGCCAGTCATACACGGAAGCTGAGTACACCATGCTTTCAGTTAGCATGGATCCACAGCTGATCGATGTTGAAAGTGGGTTAGTGTTAAATTTGATTCGCTAGGTAATGGGGGTCAGTAGATTCGAGCAAGGGTGGATGTGATTGGCTTGAGGAGCCAGGTGAGGAATGGACATGGGCTGCAGAGTTCTGGATGGTCTGCAGCTTGTACAGAGATGAGCTGGGCAGACTAACTACCTAAATTAATACTTTGCTTGGACAAGCAGGTAATTAAAAAAAATGATGTGGTATTGATTTTGTTAGGAAGTGATTTGATCATTCTTTTACAAATCTATTACATTAGATTGCTGGTTATCTGTACATACGTTTATCCGCATCAGGCTCTGACTACAATGCTGTTACAAAAGTTTCCTGATGTGTGAAGTTACGGCCTTGCAGTTGATAAAGATGCAATCTATTCGTGCTAAAAAAGCTCTTAAGCGCCTGCTACAAACGTGTGCACAACCTCATTTAACCTCCTAGTGACTATTCTCCTTGAGTGGAGGGAGGAAGGATCCCCTTAGAACTGAGCAGGTTCCAAGGTGATGTGTTTGGTAACAGAATCCTGGAATTTATTCAACTCTCTGTGGCGCATTCAATAGTCCCCAGTGCTCCAGGCATGCTGATCATGGACCAACCAGTTTGGCTCGTGTGGAAAGGAGACCAGCCACTGGGGATAGGCATTCTTCCCACATTGCATTCTGGAATTCCCACATCTTGGCTCCTGCCAAACTGCCCCTAAATGCTCTCCATCATTAGGCAAGCAGGAAGCATCCCTTCAAGGAGAGAGTGCGCAGTACATTCTTGACAAGAAATTTTCTGTGTAGGTGGCACATATAAGTGGAACTCTGTCTGGTTCGAATGCTCTTTTTAAGCATGGTGGTTGGTTTCCACATGTCAAGACACCCAGCTAACCATAAAAAGTGGATTTTCCACTGATAGCACAAATGTGTTAAATATATTTATATGGTTAGAGTAAGAGGGGCACAGGAAGCATTTTTAGCATTTTACAGATTTCCAACCATATTCACTTTATCTACAAAGAGGTCAGTCTAAATTAGTGCTGATAATCAGCTCTCTACTGTGCTCTGTTCCACATCCACTTCTCTATGCTCAGGTGCAAATATACTGACACTACACATGCACACATGTAAATGCACTTTGCAGTGAAGCACTTTGGGATTCAAGCCCCATGTGGGTTGACATGCCAATGCAATGCTTGGAGTGCATTTCATTGTCGGGGGTGCCGCCTTAGATTAAAGTTAAATTGAGGTCCCGACTGCCAGTTAAAGATCTCTTGAAAAGAGAAGGGAGTTTCTCCTGTAGTTCGCCCACAAATATACAGTCAATTCACTTTACAGTGTGTTCTGTGAAGCGCTTTGGGACGTCCTCCTGACGTGAAAAGCGCTATATCAAATGCAAGGATTATTATTTATTATTATTACTCAACAATCATCCAAATAAAAATTGTTCATTCATTTTATTCAATAAAATTGTGCCACCATAAACATGAAGTGTTCTTCAGGTTGGGCATATTGAGGTGTATAAGGTTTTTCTTTAATAAATGTCTGTAGTTTTCTGCTTCCAAACCTCAAATCCAGTCAATTTCTTGTGATAAATATTGTTCTGTAACTAAAACGTTGTTCTCTCCACAGAGAGCCCAGGCAGCTTTACAGGCAGTGAATGCAATTCACACTGGTAACATGGCTATGTCAGGCACCGGTGTTGAAGGGGCACTGCTAGCTGGTCAGAGTCCGGTCCTCCGCATCATTGTGGAGAACCTTTTTTATCCCGTCACCTTGGAGGTCTTGCATCAGGTGAGGATTATTTCTATGAGCAGAGAATTTGGTTAAACCATATATGATTCCGTTTATATAATTCTGCTTCAGTTTCTGCTTCTTTCACCAGTGCTGAATGAATGATTTATGAAAAATAAGCATTACAAGTAAACAATTTTCATATAGTAATAGTGACAGAATTCAGAGGATTGTTTTACATAACTGTCTTAGCTGCAAATAATAGCTAAAAGTAACCAATTACAGCTAAACAACTCCACCCAACTCAAGTAAGTAGGAGCATATCCATACTAATCAATAGGAAATGTTCTGCGAGGGCAAATTACAGAGAACATCCAGCATGAAGTGCCCACATCAGTCTCTGTGAACTCTAATTAATTATAGAACCTTTGTTATAACATAGATTTGCTTATCATGTGTGGAACTGTGGCCGTTTTCCCAGAGTTTTTCTTTAAAAAAAATGACTTAGGTTGTCTCCAACGTTGCTTTCTGTGTGTGCATTGATGTAAGAAAAATTCCCCCTCCCCTCAAAAAAAACACTAGTTTCTCTGTATGAAAGTGTCTAGTTTTTGTTCACCACTTTCTTTTATAGTACCATCTTTATCAACTCTCTATCTCTTGAATATTATTGATGAAAATCCATGTACAGTATATGTGGAACACTGCCCCAATGCTTCCAAGCATTGTTCTGCAAATCTAAACTGATGCAGATCAGAATATCACTTACTTTTGCAATTCAGTTTTATGAAGAAACCTGTCTGAAACTTGAATCATTTCATTCGTGAATAATTGAGCTTAGTGTGTCAATTTCACTATCTTTATTCTGATCCATATTTTAACCCAAACAGATCTTTACCAAGTATGGAACCGTGCTGAAAATCATCACTTTCACCAAGAACAACCAATTCCAGGCATTGCTTCAGTATGCTGATCCAATGCATGCACATCACGCTAAACTGGTTAGTAACCTGCAAAACAGTAAGCTCAGTCTTAATTTTTCACTGCAGCATTGGTGGAACTAGTTTATCTGCATTTTTCGATTCCTGCCTCCAGGGCAAACTGCCCTTTCCAACGCAATCTGTATAATCGGCAATCTTTTTCTCATGGAGTTTGTTTCATGGTTATATTTAAAATGAAAAATAGTATTACTAATGGTATTTGAAAATGGTTGTTCGGTATATGATTAAATTTTGATAGGTGTGACCTCCCCTGAGGTGGGTGGTTGTAGGTCCACCCTTTCTGTTCATTGCCCTGTGCTACTTATCATTCTCAGGGTTGTGGAAATAGTGTCAATCTTGTCCAGGAATGCACAGACAAGATTGACTGTAACCTATTTCGAGGAGTGGCCTGGTGGTGACTCCTTTTGCTTTGTTGAAAAACCTTTATTTTATGGCTCACTTAACAGTGACCGCTCAGGGTGCGGAAGATCATAGATATGAATTCTTGTCCACCCATTTGCATTTTTTATACAAAACAAAAATTGCTTTTCATCACATCGAAATATCGCAAACCATTTTACAGTACTTAATCAGTGTAGTGACTGTATATTTGTAGACCAACACAGCCGCCAATCTCTAGGCAAGGGTCCCACAAACAGCCATGAAGTGAATCGTAGAAATTTGCAGCACAGAAGGAGCCATTAAGTCTGCACTGGCTCTGAGAGCAAGATGTAATTTCAATCCCATTGCCCAGCTTTATCACCATTCCCCCTTCAAGCATTTACGTATCATAACTGTCTAGTTCCCACTTAAAATCCCAAAGGTACGCTGCCTCTGGTACTTTACTAGGCAGGGAATTCTACATCCCCAAAACTCTGAAGTAAGTAGGATGTCCTTGCAGATGAACTAGCTCCAGGTAATGTGCTTGGTAGTGGAATGTCAGAATCAAATCAATCCTCTGTGGCAGTTTCACTTGTCTGATTTCTGACCTAGGGGTCCGCAGTGCACCAGGCCACTGCTGTTGATGAACCAGCCAACCTGGCTCATCTCTAGGACTTGGAGGGGCAGGGATTCTTCCCACTCAGCTCCCGTTAATCCTACAGGCTAAAGTCCTCCCGGATAGAGCGGTCCTAGCTGGACAAGCAGGGGATGCTTGCCAGACAGAGATCTCAATGGCAAGCTGGTTGTTTTATACTGGTATACTCATTTATGCTGGTTATATTGGTTATGTTCCAGCAGTACTTGGGATCCCCAATCCTTGGCTTTTAGCAGCTTGCACCTAATACTCCGTGGGTTTAGATGAACAGGATGTATCCCTCTGTGGAGAGGGTGGGTATTCTGTTCCAGACACAGTCATTCCATATTTAGGTGGGGTGTATGGAATTCTCAGCTTGTTCTGGATACTCTTGAGCATGATGATGGGTTTCTGCATGTGTCAGACACCCAGCTGACCAAAAAATAAGCCAGAAGTGATAACATTGATCTAACAACCCTGAAGTGGGACCGACAGCCATCAGTCTGTTGCAGTGCTTTTCACTGAATTTGAGGTGACTACTGGAATTGAATTAATATTTTACTGAACAAATGTGAGTGATTTTATTTTATATAAGATTGGATTGTGCAGAGATAGTTAACACATTTGCGTCCCCACCCCAAAAAAACCTTTTCTGCAGGCTCTGGATGGCCAGAATATCTACAATGCCTGCTGTACTTTGCGTATAGAGTTTTCCAAACTGACAGCCCTGAATGTGAAATACAACAATGATAAAAGCCGAGACTTCACACGCCTTGATCTTCCTTCCGGCGATGGCCAGCCCCCCATGGACACTTCAATGGCTGCCGCTTTCGGTAAGGAATCCTCACTTCTAGGTAAATAAATCATGTCAAGTAAATCCACATTTGTCTGTTGTTTGGTTCCTCAACTTGTCTCTAGTGTGTCTGTGAGGGCTGAGATTGTTTTTCTTGTGTGTTTCACTAATGAATCTAACCTGGCCAGTGTCCCCTGCTTTCTCGCTATGTTGGACTATTTACAATTTCTGTTCAATTGACTTGTAAGTCTACATGTTTATTATTAAATCCGTTATTAAGTAGTGACTGATGTCTCTATTTCAACATTCTACTCTGAAGTTTGCTGTTTTTTTTTAAAAAAAGCTTTTCAGTGTTGCATGGCTTTCTTGGTTGAAAGTTTTTCCCTTTTAACACAGAGAAATAGTATACCCTAATCAGCTTATGAGTTTTGCCTCTTGTTTAGATGCATTCATCAGTAGCCATTTCATTAGGAATGAAAAATACATACACTTTCCAGCACAGGTTTCTAGGAGTGCATTATCTGGGCAGATTTTCTCCTTCCTAGCCTGTTGTGGCACTCAAACAGCCATTAATCAGAAAACTTTTGGCACAGACTCATTTCAAACCAGTAATTGTCTGAGAAAAATGGCAGGGAAAGTAATAAAAAAAACTTGCTTACTATCACTTAGATTCAGATCAGCTAACATATTTACCATTAGAATAGGTAACATTTCAGAACATAATTGCATATTAATGAGTTTGTTTAGCTAGAATACAGTAAATGGTAGTACAAGACCACATTGACGCTTCTTCCCAGAGTGGTTCAGACAGCTACATTCTAGTTTTTATCAAATATTTACACGGTTTATGGTGCTACAGGGGAGGGGTATTTTTATTTCTAGCTGAGACTGCATTGTAGCAACCTTGTTTTGCTGTTAATTAGTGACGGATCGCTACATCAAAAGATGACTTTGGTGTCACACAAATTTGTATGGCAATGGTGTGTAGTACTATAATGATACAAAAAAACCCAGACTACATTTTTCTTCTCTTATGCCACCAATGGAAGGAGATTAGACTACTAATGATCTATTGTTCATCATGTGGTATTCCAATGCAATTTTAATTGGATTTATTGGATTTATTTAATAGATCAAGTGAGATAGTCAGAGTAGAGTTTTTTATTATTGGAACTTCAACACATTGTTGAATACAAACAAAGGTTTCTTTGAACCATTTATGAATACCTTCACTCCAAAAGATTGTCTAAAAGAAGGCACCATTACAAGGTGATGTCAAACAGTCTCCTCTCAAAGATGCAGCATTTAGGAGATGGAAAAAGAGCATGTGGCTTCCAGAAGTTATTTAAAACTGCTAGTTTCTGCAGTTGACCTTTTCAATAACTTGAGGAACTGTAACATACTTCCTTTCATGGAGAAAGAAACACAAGTGGAGGAAAGAAACACAATAGATGGGGGAATCTATTTTACAATGCTCACTAAAAAATGATTTAGTCTTTATAAAGATACAATGAAAAGTTGGGAGTTAACTTGTGTTGATATCCAAAAATACCAATGATTTTTACGTTAGGAGAACCTTTATCACAAATTGCCAATACCCATCCAGAAACGCCTTATTCATGATTTGCAGCTTGTAAAGTCCCTTGAAGGAGAAAATAATTCTGCACAAATTCCCTCTTTTTTTAGAATTTTGACTTTCGGAATGAGTCGGGTTATGCTGGTTTGATGACATTTCACTGAGTCTGACTGCTGTTTCAGAATGTGATCCACAGCTATGTGTTACTGCTAAAACATATCTGATTTCTGGGTCATCAGTTACTGCTGATATCACTGCACATGAGATTCACTCTATTCTGTGCTGATTAACTTGAATGCTTTTCTTCTTTCTCTTTCCCCTATCCTCCAGGGATTGCCTTCCCTTTTAAAGAAAATGTCATCCAAGTATTTTAATTTTGGGCGGAGTGAGCATTGTTCCTTGACTTTATTGGTTACATACATCTGTTTTCTCATGGTAGGTGCACCAGGTATCATCTCCAATCCCTATAGTGGGGCGGCTGGATTTGGCCCAGCTCTTGGCTTTCCACAGGCAGGTTAGTGTGTGTGAGATTGTCACTCCTAACATTTGTCCCTGGTTTAATGAAGTTATTTAAAAAAGAAATTGAATAATATCCATTCATCATGCTGTAGCATAAGACAAAAATGCATTTTACTGATAAGAGAATCAAATTCTACGGTTCATATACATTTCTGTGCATTAGTCATTTTTAAAGGAAAAAAATCCTTGTATAGCTGTTGTACTTAACCCAGACATCTTCACCTGCTTTCAGGTCTCTCAGTTCAGGCAGTCCCAGGAGGCCTTGGACATCTAGGGATTCCACATGGTGCAGTTGCTGGTCGCCTAGCAATGGCTGGTATGGGACCATGCACAGCAAACACAGTCCTGTTGGTTAGCAACCTGAATCCAGAGGTTAGTGATATTAAAGAGCGTGAATCTGCAAAATTCTTCCTGGTTAAATTTCTCATTGCTTAAGAAAAATGTCTTCCAAGTATTTTAATTTGGGGGGTGGAGTGAGCATTATTCCTTGACTTTATTCTCACAGTACAATATGACTGACTCTTCCAGTATTTATAAGTATTGTTTGACAGAGCTTCTAAGAAAATTAATATTGTCTGGGAAGGTAATTTAGTCTTCCACATGCATAGATATTAAGTATCACCCCATATGTCTCAGAATCCTTACCAACCCTTCCAGCTTTCAGAATTTGACCAAATGTTAAGTCTTCGGCTTGGGAAATTCATATGAAAAAGAGGATGAGGCCCTTTGAGCCTCATCGCTTCCACTAAATTCATATAATTCATCTGTCAGATTTAAAACTTACATTAATGGGATTACTTGGATGAAGGTTTGTGGAGCAGATCAATCAGTAGGCTACTCTTACAATTTAGAATAAAATTCTGTAGGAAACTATATTGTTTCCATACTTGATAACAGTGTCCCACCTTTAAATTTTCTTGATTGAATATTTATTGATTTATGCCATAAATCAAGAAATATTCAATCAAGAAAAAAGCTGAAAATACCAACGATTGAACACTGATTTAACTTGACTTGTGCGAATGTTCTTGACGCCCCACAGGCCGGAAGTGGGCCATGGGTTGGCCACCACTGCTCTATAATCATGTAGGGTTAAGAATTGATAGAAGAACTGAGGTTGTGGTTATAGTATCTTATCTTGCAAAATTACTGGTGCCTTATCATTCAACCTTAGAACTTGGACTGGGACTTACCCATGATAATATAGAAGCAGCATTGATGTCTTTTGTGAAGTGTGTGGATTTTGGGTCATTTTGACCGATTGCCATGTGCACAAGTCCGCACATTGCAAAGTCCTGCTGGAGCAACTCCAATTCCTGTTGTCCATCTTCCCTGCTCTGGACGTTGTTTTTTCAGAAGTATAATAAATTTACACCCAACTTCTACAATTTAGATAGGTAAATATTGCCTATCGTTATCCCCCATCCTGCTCTGCTATAAATGGTCAATGCTTGTATATGTAAATGTTTGTTTTTATGGTTCCATTTTTATCCAATGTAATGCCCATTTAACTAATTATTTTTGTTCTGTAGTGAGGCAGCTTCCCATGAATCTGTCAAACCAGTTCTAGCCAACCCTTGTTATTATGAACCACATTGTAATTGTTTTCACTAGTCTTCACAGAACCTCTATTTAGTTTTTAGTAAAAGTGCTCAGAATTCAATAAGCCATCTGATTTTTTTTAAACAAAACACTATCTGGCAGGGACATTTAGTTTGTAATAACAAGGCTTTGGCTGTACATTTTTCTTTATTGTTTTTCTTTTATTTATTACTGTTTGGAAACAAGCAATAATAGCAAAACCATTACTGGTTTACAGAATGGGGATTATTTGTTACAACTTGCATGTTGGAATTTCCCAGTGGCTAGTTGACAAAGCCATACAGACCTGCAAGGTCTTTCTGATTCTAGCATGGATCTTGGCCAAAGCATTCGGGTCACTGAGGTTGACCTCAATCTTAAGATAGGGAGGAAAAATCAAACTTTCTTGCTCGTTATCCAGTGACACCTACTGGAGATGTGCATGTGTGGCCATCGTGAGGACTGAACTGGACTCAGTGCATTTACGGCCAAATGGCTTGCCAAATGGCTTGCCAACACTCACTGTTTTGATTTGCACAAGAATAGCCAATTGCACCACGTGAGCCATCACTTATACACTGCTTGATTAAATTTTGTAAAAATCCAGTTTTTATATTTGTGTGAGTAAATTAGTTGGTATCCACTTTCTTTTAAGGCTAAATTCTCCCACAAAATTTTCAGTCAATTCACTTTTCAGTATATTCTGTGACAGCTCTGAGACGTCTAAACAAAGTGCTGAGGCACTATATCAACTGCAAGTATTATTATTATAAATTTAACATAGTTACCTTTTAGGTGTGACAGAGGCATTTCTACCATGATGCCTGTTGCATCAATTGGTTAAGTAGATGACCAGAGGTATAACAATTGTTCCGAAATGTTCTCTTATACCCGTACCCAAATGAAATAAAACCTTTGTGGCACAATAAGTTATTTTCAAACATTAGCTGCAGTACCCCAGAACACTTATTTTCATCTGAGATTTTAGTCTCTGTATTGGCTGGGTCTTAAGGAGAGGGAACCTGAACTAATCCGGTCTAAAGGACCGAGCCCTTTCTGCACCACTTAAGTATGGTTCCTGATTTGCTGACTAAGAAAGTTAATTAATGTGATCCATGAAAATGTCTTATCATTTTACTTCTCACTCTCATGGATCATATTTGATGAGAGAAGGGAGTTTCTCCCAGGACCCAATCTACCCCCAAAAAGTCATTCACTTCATGGCTGTGTGGGACAATGCTGTGCGTAAATTGGCCACTTCACTCGCCCATAAATACATAGTCATTGCACTTCACAGTAAAATCTTGTGAAGCACTTTGAGATGTCTTGTGATAAGGGGCTAAACCAAATGTGACGATTATTATGAGTGTACAGAGGGGAGTGAATATAGGATAAATACTTATTTAGAAAACACAAGTATTGAATAATGTTTTTTTTACTGACTTAATATTTTATTCTTTATTGCCTTGCTTTGTCATTTACTCCTATTTCTTAATGTGTACTCCATTAATAAACCTCCCCCACAAATGACTATCCAACAGCATTTGAACCTTCTGTACTTTTTTGTGGTCAAATCGAATGCTATATGGATTAAACTGGCCTTCAACTGTAAAGCTGAGTTACTCTTTGATTATGGGCAATTTGATGATGTTTGTCTCCGGTCCATCTTGTGCTGACTTGTTTTGTTCCCCCTACTACAGAAGGTTTCACCTCACTGGCTGTTCATCCTCTTTGGTATGTTGTCATTTGCACTGCTATTTTACTATAAATTTGATTTTCTTTCTTTTAGTCAGTTCTGTGCATCATTCCAACCTGCTTCTGTATTACATATTACATCTATGCTATTGATGAGTATTATATTCAGAACTGTTAAAATGCATGTCTAAATGTCCTTTTTTTATGGTCCAGCATTTTTTAATCTGTACACTTTTGTTTGAAGTGCTCAAGTAAATGATTAAGTTGATCTTCATTTGTTTCTGCTGTGATTTGTATACCATCTTTGCTTTGCTTTAAACTGAGGCTACGTCCGTTTCTTGCACTTGTGCTGAATTTTAACTTGTGTGTTTTGTCCGTTTGGTTGTTCTGAAGGGGTGTATGGTGATGTACATCGTGTGAAGATCTTGTTCAATAAAAAGGAAAATGCTTTAGTGCAGATGGCAGATTCAAATCAAGCTCAGCTGGGTAGGTTCATTCAGCAATTTGACAACGTTAAATGGTAAATTGTGTTTTAAGAGTTTGCTTTTATTAATTTGCTGTTCCATTTTGCATGCAGACTTAAATAGCTAAAGTACAAACAAACTAGGTTTTAGTAGGCGATATTTCACCAGTTTCACCTTTGTTGTCCTGTTTTCTAATTAGGCTTGCTAGCCTTTCACATGAAGATATCCTCTCGACCAGTGATTGAAAATTATGATCAGGAATTCCAATGCTTAATAATAAGAGCTAATTTTGGGTAATACATGAGGCTGGGCTCATTGTCAATATCAAACCATGCAGATAGTCATGCAAGCCATAAATTGGTTACAGTACGAACTAACAAAAAAAATTGTTCATCGGGAAATTGTAAATTTCTGCAGGACCAGTCTGCCAGCCTTTCTCTCTGCCATTCTCTTTCTGATTTACTCTAACTGTTTCCATCTCTTTCTCTTGACTTTTTCCCTGACTCTAATCCTACTGTGTATAATGCTAAATAAACACTTTTCTACTGTCAGCCAAAAAAAAATTAGTGGTGCATCTATGTGAAATTGCATGCATGTGCTGAAGATTACTTGGCAATTGAGTCACTCACATGGCACCATTAAATAGCATCTCAGCAATCTTGCACACGTGCACAACTGGATTATTTTTATTTGCCAATGTCCCAGCATTGTGATCACTTCCACATCATAGCCTAATGAAGATAAGTAGACACAACAATAATTGCTATGCAGATATTCGGTGTTGCTGTATTTAATTTGTTTCAGTATTCAAATTCCTCTGCTTTAATCAACGCTCATTAGACGTTTGTCCCAATTTTCAGTTTATTGGGAAATGTAACCTTTTTGAATCTACTCATCTAGATATTTTGGTAATGAAATCATAACCAGGACAATAATAATCCTTAAATTTGATATAGCACCTTATCGCATCTTTGAGACTTCTCAAAGCGCTTTACAGAATATACTCTAAAGTGTAGTGACTGTGTTTTGTGGGTGAAACACCCAGGATAATTCATTAATGAGCAAACCGGTTATTTTCATATTCACCTGACTGAAACAAATTATCTTTAATTAGGAAGGATATATAAAAGAGATTCTTTCAAATTGCTGTAGAAAGTCTCCAATGTCAATGCATTTGGAGTTTTTACATGATCGCTGACAGTTCTCTGCTTTCCTGAGGTAGATTGTCCACCTGAGACTTGTTTGTAAAAATTTGCAAAGATGTTTAATTGGAATGCTTTGCAGTGTGTAGTGATTGTAATCTCCTGTGGAGAACACTGATTACCTTAACATAATCCCACGGGGCCAACTACAGTCACTTGCATTTTATATGTGACCATTAGGCTGTACTGCTGCTTTTCTCCATTGATCTCCCCACTTCATTTCCTTGTGCTGCTACCTAATCCACTCCAGGGCCTAAGTGAAAACTGGTTCTGCTCCCTCCAGATTGAAGCAAAATGGGAAATCTTTGATTCAAAATCCAGACTTGCTCCAAATGTAAAATGCATTGGGGAATTATCTCATGGCAAAATAGATAGACAATTGAATGGTCTGACATTTTTAGCAAATTTTAAATGGAGCTCCATTTTAAATGGAGCATGCCTTATGCACAATAGGGAGAGGCAGAGGACTGTACAGCCTGAGGCACTCAGCATTGGATGATGTAGATTTGGCAAAAATGCAAGCCATAACGAGAGGGAAAGTAATCAATTTTCAGTTTGTGAGATTGGGGAAATATACATATTCACTTCTATAGTTTCTCTACCTTGTACGTTTTCCACCCATGAGGATGGGCTGGACAGCTGCCTCCCAAGTCTACCTCAGCTGCAGGGCGGGACAGGAAATTGGCTGTGCAGTTTCCCCAAGAGGACCTTTTTCAAACCTCATCATTGGAGGCAGCCAAGACAGGAGATTTCAGAAGCTGTTAGCTATTGGATTTTCTAGTCTCTTGCCCTGATTACGATCAAGGGCAGGAAAGGGTTCTAAATGGAATGGAGATGTTGGGAGAAGCTTGCTCCAGAGAGCCCAAACCTAATTTGAGCTGTTTCCACTTGGCGAGTCTACAACTGGAGATGTAAATATAATATAATTCTGGGAAGATGTAACAGGGGATTCATGAGGAACGTCTTCACCCAGAGGGTGAGAATATGCAATTCATTGCCAGAAGCTATGGTTGAAGCAAGTAGCATCAATGTATTTAAGAGGGGAATAGGAGGAGTGGGAATAAACCCTGGCATATACTAGTTGGGCAGATTTGCCTGTTTTTGTAAACTCCCCAGCCTTTACCAACCTTTACTGTCTCCCTAATACAGAACTGATTGATTTAGTTTTTTTTTCCCCAGGATCCTCACTAACGTACAAATCACATCATACCCTGACACCTCCCTACCTTTCTGACCTGCTTGCTCCCACTCCTCTATCTAGCCCCCTCCCCTTTTGCTCAGTGGGCTTCAGCCCCTCCTGCAAGTCACTTGTCCACCAGTGGCTGTATTTTTAGCCACTAGGTCCAAAAACTGTGTAACTCACTGCCTTAGTCCCTCCATATTGCCTCCTTCCTTGTCAGTCTTCAGACCACACCTGAAGACCTCCTTCTTTGACCGTGCCTATGGTCACTTCCCCTCTCTCCCTGATTCAGCATCAAACTACCCTACTGTTAAGGACTCTGAGATGCTGCCTGCATGAAGGGCTCAATATAAATGCTTGTTTTGGCTCTTTGTGTAATTGTTGTTCCAAGCACTTTGTGAAAGTGATGGCCACTCTTATATTGTGAGTGGCTATCATGCAAGTCATCGATTGCAATTATAACCCTTGACCAAAGGTAAATTCTAGTAAATTATTTACAAACCAAAGATTTTATCTTGAGACATTGCCCTTTTCTTTCCTTTTCTACTCCGCCCCGCCACACCACCCAGGCATAGTATATGCTAAGTAGCTAATAATTACGACAGCTGTTAAAGTCTGCTTCCTAAATCCTGAATATGTTGGGTCACATATCATTGGGCTTGGCTGTCGTACACTACTGCACGGTTGAAGGCCTCTTTACGTTCACACTACAAACTCTCACATGAATAATGTGGTACTGTAATCCAGAATGAATTGACATCTTCAGTTGAGTAGGAAAAAGAGAGAATGACTGCAGCCAAAGGCTGATGAAACACAATACGAGTATAACCTACCACAGTAATTTATTGATGATAATTAACACTGGCATGTGATGCACAAACATGGTTGTCAGTACGGTTCATCCTAGCTCTGTTTTTTTACAATGCTTAAATTGGAAATGCAATCCCTATATACAATTTAGATCTAACACAGCAATGGAATTTAAGCATTTGTGGCTGGGGACCAAGGTTATTGCCTGTGCTCTCTTGGCTTAGGTATTGGTGCAACTATATAGCTTCTTTCAGGTTCAACTGAACTTTCTGGATATTAGCTTAGTTATACAAATTGAGTTGCTTGTTTTCTCTTTAGCCATGAGTCATCTGAATGGACAGAAGGCATATGGCAGGGTGATTCGAGTGACTTTATCGAAGCATCAGATTGTTCAGCTTCCTCGGGAGGGACACGAGGACCAGGGTCTAACTAAGGATTACAGCACCTCCCCACTTCATCGTTTCAAGAAACCAGGCTCCAAGAACTTCCAAAACATTTTTCCTCCATCATCTACTCTCCACCTCTCCAATATTCCGTGAGTATCCTCAAACTCTGACTTGGAACTCATGTGAGTAATTTTTGGGGAAAAATTAGATCGAACAAATGAAGTATCTCCCCCCCCCCCCCCCCCCCCCCCCCCGCTAAAAAAAAAAGCAAATTCATTCCTTCATTTTACTTCTACTGGTACAGGAGATGTATGTGTGGTTTGCTTTTGGTCCCTCACCCAAGGGCTATTAATATTGGTGTACTCGAGACATTAGGTCTGATGTGGCCATGCAGCACTCTGGCTAGCTCAATGGAAAGACCATATTCCACTTGCTACTCTGTGCCTTTTTTTGTGTTTCCCAAAACTATTATACGTGAGATCTGTTCCATCATACATTTGATTTCATGATTTATCTGTTTTCTCTCTGGAATGGTTATGTCTGTTTTAATGAGCTGTTTATCTGTTTACAGACCTTCAATAACAGATGATGATCTGAAGAATCTGTTTGGAAGCATTGGAGCTACAGTGAAGGCCTTCAAATTTTTCCTGTAAGATAGCTTTGTTGTGTTGCTTTCCATTGAATAGTGTCATCAGTTTACCTTCAGTGTAATTCAAGAGTAGTCTACTGGTCCAAGATTTATTCTACAATATAATACATTCCTGTAATTCTACTTGAATCCTCTGTTACTGAAGAAAAACCTTGCATGTGTGAAGTTGTAAAAGAAAGAGTTGCATGATGGCACAATTTGTTTTTAAAAATACTCGCATCATTTTCATTGTTTCTCTTCAAAATAAACTATGTAATATTGCAATATAGAATTACAGAAATGCATTGGATTATAGAGTAGATAAATTTGCAGTCTTGCCGTTTCCTTTTCTCATGGTCAGTATATAACTTGGGAACATTATGTAGCTTTAAGTAAAGAAGTTAAATGGACAAAATAAACATGCGGAAAGGCAGGCCACCTTGAGCTAGTTACTAGCAGAAAAGTACCTTTGATAGAAGCCTGGAGAAACCCAACCTCTCAGCCTCTAGGCTGAGCTTTAGCCTATCCTTTTGATCTTATCTGTCCAGAATACACATCCTATTGTTTTCCCAACAGTGGGGACTTTGAACTCTAACTAGACTTCAGACACTCCAGTGGGTGGGTGCGCTGCATTGTTGGAAATGCTGTTCTTTGAGGCATAAAACTGAGGTCACGTTTACCTATTCAGATGGACATTAAAGATCCCATGGTACTATTCGAAAAAGGAATTTCTCCCAGTGTCCTGACCAACAATCCCCAAATAAAATTAGTCACTCACTTCATGGCTGTTTGTGGGACATTGCAGGGTGTACATTGGCTGTCATTACAATTTCTAATACAGTAAAATCATAACAAGGGCTTTGAGACACCTCGACAGCACGATAAGGCACTATATCAAATGCAAGGATTATTATCTTAGCATCAATGTAACTAATGGAGAGCCAGCCCTTTTCTCAAATGCTCAAATACTATTTGTTGAGTTAAATAATAGTAATACAAGGATTACTCTTATTATTTAAATCAACAAATAGTATTTGGAGCACTAGTTACTTTAAAGATTATACAAGGTGCAAAGATGCTGCTGACATTAGTAACTTATAAAACTAATGTTTGTTCTCTCCATTGCAGGAAGGACCGCAAGATGGCCCTTATCCAGTTAGCCTCTCTTGAAGAAGCAATCCATGCTCTTATTGATCTTCACAACCATGACCTTGGAGAAAATCACCATCTCAGAGTTTCCTTTTCTAAATCTACAATCTAATTTTCCTCTTCTGGTGTTTCTCTCCAGACTGGGACCACAATGTGGAAAACTAGCCTTTAGACAGAGACTCAAGTACCAATGACCAACTATGCCTGCAAGAGACATGTAGATTAATGATCTTTTAGGTTGAACACACAACAGTGACACAGATTTATCCAATTTGCTGACACACTTTTACTTTGCTATACATTTTCTTCAGTTTAAACTTAAGCTTAATATACTTTTCCTTTATTTTTTGGAGGGTGGTTTGTTGCAAGCAGTCAACAGCCATAATTCCGATCACTTACCAGTAAAGTCGGTTAAGTGATTAAGAGTTTTTTTTAAAAAAAGTTTACAGTCTTGAGAGAGAAAAATCAGGTCGAGATCTAAATTTGTCATACTTTTAAAAATATTTTGGTAATTTTTTTTGAAAAAGACTCTTAAACTTCATGGGTTTTCATACCACTAAAATATAATCGGAAAATTTATCAGTTTCCTATTTACTGTGTACTCATTTAATTCTTATCACGTGCCTTATTAAGTGCTTATAATCAATTAATAGATTAGTGGTTTTGTTTGAGGTATCCAGTACATGTATGGTGGGTTCTTTTTGGGAGTATTTCTTCTTGTCTCGTAGATTTTAGATGTATTTTCTTTTGTGTTTTTTTGCAAGTTCGATCAGTTATTTTTTTTATGGAAAATGTGCACAGATGGGAAAGAAAAAACACCAACTTCCTCTTTCTTCCTCAGGCAACCACAACCTTGCAAACATGCACAGTAGTTCCAGAGAATTACAGTATAATATTCTTGCTGTAGAATGGGACCGAAGATGAGAGCAATGGGTGTTGGTGTGTTTAGCCCCAGAGGTTGCTTATTTGCTTTGGTATCTGCACGATTCTTGGTGGTTTAAATTTTCAATCTGTGTGCTAAGGGTTTGTAAAATGTTACCTTAAAATATTTCATTTATTTTGCTGATGATCTGTAGTGTGAAGTTATCCGTGTTAATTTTACAAAGGTTTCATTGATGTGATCGGCAGTTATTTTGAGGGAGTAGAACCTTTTGTTTTTTTGAATGTTTCAGCGCTGGGTTTTATGTCTCTGATATTTTAAAATGTTTGTTTTGTTTAGAGACCACGGCTAAACATTCAACATTTTATGCTTGCCTTTTGTTAAGGACTAAATATTTGTAACTGCCAGACTAGGTTTTTTTTAAAAAAAGTCCTTAACTCTTCCATCCATTCTGAAAGAGTAGTTCACAGCTGCACAGACTTAGCAAAGCTTTCATTAAACCATGGTTAGAACTGTACTGATTTCCTAAATACAAGACTGTTTCATACTTTCCAGAAGGAATTATAAGAGGTATCAACTCCTGAAAAAAGTAGAAACTAGTGAATGTTAAGGTGAAAATATCAGCTTTTATTTCAGGGTTTCAGAGAAAACCAAAACCGGACCAAAGTTTATGTGCCTTTAGTCGTCTTAATGGGTCTTTTTTCCCCCTCTTCCTTCTAGTTTTCATATTTTCTCTTGTTATATCTATCTAGAATAGAAAATTATTACAAACATAATTTTGAGTATGTAATCCCATAGAGAAGGAAAGAGCGTGAGAAAGAATATTTTATTTTGGTTGTTTTGTAGTGACGTGGTTTGTTAGTTTACACCCAGCTCTAAAAGAGAGAATATCAGATGCTCACTAATTTACACAAAACGGATCTGCCAATCTCACTTACTGGACATTGAACGCAATCTCAATTTGTTTTTCAAATGAATGGTCCCTTAAAAGTAATTGCAGGAATCGCAGTTGTATCCTCACTATTTGAGCCTGAATCCTGCACAAACTTAAGTGCAAATCCGTTTTATCTTTGTAAAGTCCAACATGTTTGTGCAACGCTCACCAAGGAGTGCAGTACTGGAACCAGTTTTCTAAGGAGTGGAAGCAGAGAGCTACAGCTGTTCTGCTTTGCCCCTATATTATTGAGTGGGGAAAGGCAGATCTATACTTATTCACAATACTGCTTATAGACTTACAACTGTGAAATTTCCAGAGAGCCCTGGTCTATTCACAAGCAGCACTGGTGGTGGGAAATTAGTTCTCAAGTGATGTACCCTGACCAAAACAATATAGCATTCCTAACAGTAAAATCTACATGAGTCTTATACAACCTTTGCATTGCAGCTGGAATACATTTGGCTGTGCAATTTAGACTCGCATTGTTACAGCTACCAACCACCTTAGTTGAGCTGCCTTTCATCATAAATTGAGTCCCTCAGTAGTGCTGTGAGGTTGGCAGGTACGTACTGCTTTTCCCCTCTGTCAATCATGTACTTGGTCTGTTCTTAAAATTCCTGCTTTTTTGAGTTAGTAAGGATGTTCAGCTGACAAAATGAAAGTGCTGTAAATATTTGTAACAACTTTTTTTATCTGATGAGGTTTTTTGGGAACAAGAAAAAAGTACAAACTGGTTTTTATATGAAAACTGATTGTCTTGTATATTTTGATAAGCCACAGTACCGGGTTTCATTTGTAAAGCAGTTTGTGTCAATGTGGGAAAAAACAAATGGATTCCATTTCTGTTCAGATGATTTGTTTTTAATGCAAACAGAAGATGAAATATTAAAAAGGATATTTTCTAATTGGCTATTGCATGTTTCTGTATACTATGTTCCATTTCTTTCATTGTGTGTACTTGCTTGTATGGCCTTGATACTATTGCTTAATCTTTCCTAACAACTCTAATTGTAGCATGCCTTCAATAAATGCCATGACATCTCTCTTGATCTTCCTGCCTCTTTGTCTAGCACTTTTACTTTTTCTCTGTCCTTTCTTTATTCTGGATCTATTAACTTGTCTCCATTTATTTTAATCACTCCCTCACAACTTTCAGTCCCGTCTGCTGGAATAACATTTTGCTTTTTTTAAAAAAAGTATAAATATTTCACAGCTATAGTGTCTGTGTCTGTTGCATTGTGTACTATTGCATCTGCTTCTGAACTGTCGTATTAAGAGATATGCAAGAGTCCAGTCCTCACTCTGTGGGAATCTGTCAGGCTGTGCTTCACTGTGATAAAAATGGATGAGATTTGGGAAAAGTAGTGTATGGGGAGAAGATACAAGGTGTTTGGAGACACGGATCCACATCAACAACAACTTGCATTTCTAAGCACCCTTTATGTGTGGCAGGGTCTCACATAAAATGGAGTTGCATAAAACATTGTACCTTCTCTCACTTTACACATTTTTTAAAAAAATTCTCACCCTGTTTTTTTCTAATTTTCTATTATCCTGAAACTAAATATACTGATTTAGTTGAGCTAAGGGGCCAGACAAAGTGTTTCACTCCAAGCCAATTTCATACAAACGCATAGAAATTGAATGGCTGGAGACTGTTCGACTGGGCAGAAACATAACCAAGCCGATCATCTTAACAAGATATTTTCAACCAGAACGTACAAAATAGCAATCTGAGGTGGGATTGTGACTGGCTGAGATTAGCTAATTAACATAGACTGGGAGGGGTTCTATTCCCTTGGGAGCTTTATTCTACGGATCAGTGAGTTTGCTAACTGAACCATTTGGTGAGCATCTTATTTTAACGTATTCAACAACACCAACTTGCATTTATATAGTGCCATTCACATGGGGCAGCAACTCGAAGCGCTCAACAGTGGCAGAGCCTGATGTCGAGCTGGAGAGAGGGAGGAGATGATCGTAAGCACGGTTGAAGAGAAAGATCTTCAGTTGTAATCTAAAAGAGCGGAAGGAGGGGGATATTTCTTCTCAGGATCCCTATATCACACATTGGCTGCCAGCCTTCCAAAGCTCACGAGTGCCGTAAATTGCTTCTAAGAGTTTCATTAAACATTTTGTGGATGTTTTCCCACCTTGGTTCATGTTTGTCCATGACATCCTGGTTAAGAATATGGCATGAGTTTTTTTTAAATAACTCTTAAAATGCTGTTTAAAGGATGCAGAAAGTAAAGCAAGTGCAGATAGAGCCAACTCATGTTACAACGGAGTTTTAATACCTCCCTTGTAATGTGAGTTGGCTCTTTCTGCACTTGCTTGGCACCTAACTTGAGAACTAGAAATGGAAACTGATACAATGCTTCACATTCACAAGACAACCTCCAATCCAAATGAAGCTTGTTCCAGCAGCCAGATAGAAAAAAACTTAGTTGTGTAACTCAATATGAATGCAAAGTTTTAGGCTTCTGTCACTGCAACTTGCATTTACAAAACACTTCAGGCTTGTGTATGCCATGCAATAAGCCTGCTAGCAGCCAGTCAGGATTATTTCTTGTAGAGGAATATATGCCCGTGCTGAGGCTGTGTAAGGAACTGAAGTAAATGTGAACACATTACATTAATTCTATTGCTCTGGTACATATTGTAAACCATTAACAAAAAAAGTGCTGAAATTTGTATATCACTCCTTTTTTCTTCCTTTGTTGTGTTGCATTGTTCATTTCAGAGAGGAGGGTTGATGCACATTTTAAAAAATATATTTGAATTGGGCTTGATGGTGACAACATCCTGAAGTGGAATTTATAGGGTTTTTTTGCACTCTGGGAAGATCTGAGCATTTTTCTATAGGGAGGAAAAATTTGAGTAAATCACCATAGGTTGCTTTTACACCTACTTGCATCACCCAAATTATCGTTTTCCAGGATCATCCTGAATGTCAAGAACAACTCTAGACTTCTCCTCTTCACCACCAACCATCTCTGCCCACTTTCCAATGCCCCGCCCATCCCCTCCCAGCTCCATGCTTTCATCACTTTCATCACTTGACTATCATAACTCTGCCAGACTTCCCAGCTTGTCCCTTTCCCACCATTAAGAACTCTACAGTGAGCTCTGCAGTGTCCTCTTGCTCTAGACTCCACAAGCCTATCATCCCCATCCTCGCCAAGCACCACTGGCTTTCCATTGCCCAGCAGCTTGAGTTCAAGATCCTCGTCCTAACCTTTAAATCCCCCAAAGCCTTGCCCCACCCTAGCTCTACGACCTCCTCAAAACCTACTAACCCAGTAACTCCCTTGGCAGAGCCAGCCTGCTTCACATCCTGTGCTGGTCACCCCACCATTGACAGTCGGGCTTTCAGCTTATCTGCCCCATTTTCTGGAACTGCATCCCACAGTCCCTTCGGCTCACCCTTGCCTCTTTCAAGGTCCTAAGACCTTCCTCTCTTTCGTCATCTTACACCCCTCCTGAATCCAACCCCAGCTTGGGTGCAGCTGTCCAGCACCTTTGGATGTCCTCCTGATGTGAAAGGCACTGTATAATGCAATTTTTTGGTCTGGTTCTGGAATAGAGCTGATTGGCAGAAGTCGAGTAGCCAGTCACTCACCTGCCTTCCTCTGCCAGGGAACAGTGTGACCTAAGAAGAAAGCAGAGAATGACATTGAAAACTATCCAAGCTTAGCTTTCTTGGCTTTATAAGGTATTGAGGAACTGGAAAAAAATGACCATTGAAACAGCTCTAATATTTGGGGTGAAGGTGGGAACAAAACAATTATCTTCCTCCTTTCCCTCCTCCCCCCACCCCCCCCTCCCCGCACCACACACACACAAATATTTTTGAATGGTCATGTTTCATTCTCTTGGTTTCCTTTCACTGCTTCTCCCTTCAACCCCCCCCCACCCCGATTAATAGCATCACTTATAAAGGGGGTTAAATTGCTATTTTCACTGGGTATTAGCAATCTGAGACTGATCATGGCTCAGTGGCTTAATATATCAGATAATACAGATGAAAGGCAGGAAGAACAGGGAGGGCCCAGAATCACTTCCTGCTCTGTACTTGAGTTAGCTTATCTTGGGGAGGGTGATGATAGAGATACAGTACTACAATTAGATTCTGTGTCTGGATTAAAGAGGAAACAAAACACAACCAAAGTCCCGAAACTAATACCTAAAAATTCCACCACGTCGTAACCTATAAAGGCCATTTTGTCTTACAAGGAATTAAATAAAATGGCATAGAAACTAGTCCATGCCGGTGTTTATACTCTGCATGAGCCTCACCTTCCTATTCCTCTTTATTCCTCTGTTCCCTTCTCCCTTGATACCTCTTAAACATGTTGATGCTTTTTGCTTATCTACAGTTTCCAGAAGCATGTTCCACATTTATACTCCTCTAAGTAAAGAAGTTCCACCTAAACTCACTTCGAGGTCTGCTACTGGCTATTGGAGACTTTTGAATTCCTTATTCAGGACACATCTCAAAACTTATCTCTCTGACTGTAACCCCCCCTCATCCCCGCCCCCCGCCGGCTCCCACCCCCAGCTTGAGTGCCCATCCAGCATTGTCAAGTGCTTTGAGACGTCTTCCCGAGAAGGCCTATTTGAGTACTTTTTAGCTATTGTGGAAAAACAGCTTTCGAATTCAAACTGAACTTGGTAAGAATTTTGCACAATCTTACACTTCAGGACAATGTGGTCTTTGTGGTTAAGGCTATGTGGATTTTCAGGCCTCTGATAATTACCTACTGACTCCCTACCAAAAATTACACATAAATTACATCAAGTGAGTATGTGGGCTGCAAGTCAAGTGGCCGGCCACCTGTTTAGTGTGCTAACGTGTGGAAGAATAGCCAGGTGAGGTACAGAAGGACTGCCAACACCTCTGCAAAGTTGCACCAGGATATCACCACCTTCAGAAATTGACGGTGCAAAAAAGGCTAACAACCGGGTTCCCACTTGCTGCTAGGTAAACAAAAGTAAGGAAACTTGAGGTTTCGGCACAAACTCTGTTTGATCTTTTTCCATTTGCTGAAAACAGGCACTCCATTTGCATTGAGCTGGGCAGGCGGAAACTATTGCCATTTAGTTTGGATGTTTAAATGATTCTGAGGTGTTTGTGGGAGCTGCCACCACATCTCGGACAAAGTATTGTGTCGCGTTCCAGTGAAGCAGCCGACACTAGTAAACGTTGTGGCACAAAGAAAGCTGTATAGCTTGAGGCTTCCAGGGACGAGCATTTCAGTTAAACTAGTCGTTCTTGGTTTCTATAATGTCAGCAGTATTTTAGCTCCACCGTCAGGCTGCCTTTCCCACTCCACAACAATACTGTACCACTTTGTCTGGGCCAACAGGCTAATACAGCAAAGTGGTGTTATGCATTCTAATAACCATAAATATATCATTAAGATATATAGAGTAGATGCACTGCAATAAGCAGCACAAACGTAAGAACCACAAATGCTACTCTTATCCTGAACGGCACTATGTCAGTAATTGATTCATACACCAGGTTTGGAATATCTTAAAAGCTTTGGGATCCAATCTGATTTTACCATAAGTGAAGTGTATATTAACTGTTTAAAGATCATCTGTGAAGGTAATCTCATAACCAAAGAGAGCGACAAACTTACTGGGGAGTTATGTAGTTAATTCTCATCATTAAAATCAAAGCCTGTTTCATACAGCAACAACATTACATTTGTATAGTGCCTTTCACGTCAGGAGGATGTC